TGGCTTACTGTTCAATGTCTAACAACCCATCTTCCCAGGGGAAAATGGCCTGGTTTATAGCATTCACAGATTTCCATGATATAAATTCTCCCCCAGGCTGCTATCAAACTCCCCACATGAAGTTAGGGAATGTGGAGTTTAGAAGAGCTGCACTCAGTATCTTCTGCTGACTTCTTGTCAGGTCCAACGCATTGCTGCCACTTCCTCTGGAACATTTGTCAATGTCTATTATTGTCTTTCCCATGATCTCCTAAAGCGGAGTCCATGCCCTATTCACATTTCTGTTGCTAGCCATTCCCGCTCCATGCTATCAGATTCACGTGAATACTTGATGAATGAATGAATGATTGATTTGGATAAGAAGTTGTATTCAACATAGCATTTTCTTCAGACTCTTAGTTCAGTTTAAACTAAGGAATTCATAGTAGTAGCTCACAGTGGTAAATGTGAGCAGGGTGACAGAGCCAGCATCTGTAATGTGTGGCAGATACCCGTGTTGTGTTGTGAGTCTCTCTCACCACAGCACTTGGCCCCTCCTCTCTGCAGTCTTCTTTCCTGTTCCCTTCAGAGACTGAAACCCACCCTGTGGGGATGCAGTACTCACTCAGGAGGCCACTTGGCACAGAAACCTTTAAACCTTCAGGAGAAGCCAGCAAGGTGCAGCGTTAAGGCCAGGAGGGACACACTTTAAAGAAAATCTTTAAAGATTCCYTTGGTCTGTATATTAGCCTCCCCCACGTTGAGGGAAATTGACTATGCAGGATTGCTTAGATTCTGAAAAGAGTAGTATCAGGCCCCAGGCATAAAAGGATCAGAACTTAAAAGTTGAAAGGAGAAGCTTAAAAAAAAAGGAGTGATAATTGTATGAATGAAAACACAAAATGAAATTTTACTTACAATTATTCTTTTCTCAACATATGAAATACTGCCTTTTGATTTGAACTTCCAAGTTAAAATAAGAGATTATATTTTTTTTCACTGAAAAAAATAAGTCACCCCAGTTTTTCTTTCAAAGATATTTTATGTGTTGTCAGTACTTAATATACTGAATTTTAATTTGTGCTACAGTGGCACCTTGCCACAACTTTATCAGAACAGTACCAAGAATGTTTACATGATAATATGACATTATAGTTACATGTTGATTATAAAATCCCAAAAACCTGCTCTTCTTTTTGGTCTTTCCATTCAATTTTGGGCTGTGAAGACTTGCCATGATCTCTGGAAAATACCAAAACTAGGAATAGCAATACTAAGTATACCAGGACATTTATATCTGAACTCCATTCTATCCCATTACATTTATTCCTTGAAATTCAAGTATGTATTAATCTACACATTTTATTTGCATATTKTATATTTTTGTGAAGTTGCAAGTGTTTAGTAGGAGTTTAATTTAGATTTGGATTATTTGGAAAATATTAAAGGTGATCCCAGGATAAAACATTAAGAGACTTGTCTTAATGTCTCTTTTTATAGACCATGTTAACATTTTTTGACCTTTTGAGTAAATATAGTCTAATTTTATAAAATAGATAATAAAATATTTTACCTGAGTTATTGGTAAATTTTAAAGTGCTTTTTTTCATTAAGAAAAGTTCTATAATCTATTATTCACCATTTTGGGGGAAAATATAACTATGGATAGATAATAAAATATTAATATTATTATATACTCTCCATTTGAGCTGACAATATAAGCAATAGTATAATGACTCTGTCAGAATGCTCATTTTGCACTTTAAATATATTTATTTGATCATTTTTCTGAGCATCAGCTCTCTCTGAGCTGGGAAGCAGAGTTCTCTCCATTTACTTTCTTTTCAACTTAGATTCTTACTTTCCATTCATTGCTCTATGGTTTCTGTAAGTCCCTCATTGGAAAATTCTTGGTGAGATTCTTCTTCTCATATATTTTTCATTTGTTTAAATTTATGTTTTTCCCTTCTCATTTCTCTTAAATATATGCAATCTTATTTCCAGACACTTTAACCATTCCTTGCAGCTTTTCTGGTTGTACTTCTAAATGTAGTCACCCTTTTTGGAGTTTCCCCCACATTTTCCATTTCTTGTGTCTGTTGGATTGATTTCACAATCTGGCCACAGAGTGTTTTTGAAATAGCCAAGATCTCTTCTTCCCTTGCTTGGTGCATCACAATCTCTAAGTTGATTGGGTCAGCAGGGGTGGGAAATATTAAGCTAAAAAAAATAGTGACACCACAATGTTAGACTGAAAACAACATCAACCTGAATAACCAAATATATATATGGAGATCACCATAAGGAAATTACTTCCTTCTCACTTTTTTTTTCTTAAAGTTATCCATTACAAGTTTCTTCATCATTGATCATTATATTAAATCCAGGTACAATGAACTCAGACTCTTAGATGACCTCCAGGGCAAAATTTATTGTTCAAAGAATCTTAATGTCAAACCATAGATAATAAATATTGTTAAATTCTCAGCATAATTTTAAAGTAGAAATCTTACACACACCACTAGTAGATATGAGTCTGTGAACTCATAGTGAATGACAAGCCATGGTTCTTTTTGGGAGAGTGCCTGGGATTGAACTCAGGGGCACTAACYACTGACCCATATCCCCAGCCCAATTTTGTATTTTATTAGAGACAGGGTCTCACTGAGTAATTGCTTAGTGCCTCACTGTTGCTGAGGCTGGTTTTGAACTCACAATCCTCAGCCTCTAGAGCTACTGGGATTACAGGTGTGTACCACGCACCCAGTAAAGCCATGGTTCTTGATTGCCACAGGGACTGAGTAGGAGAATTGCTTTCTCCCACATGGATTTAAATTTTCTCCACCCAGTTGCCAGCAGAATAGCTGGCAAGAGTAAGTGCCATTTATTGGGTATGTTGGGAGGTAAGGCATAGGTGTCATGCTACTATTTCAACAGGAGAGAACAAAATGGACAAAAATATGAGCTTCTTTGAAGTCTAAGGGAAGGAAGCTGGAGAAATGCCGACTCCCTAGCTGTTACTGTTACGTACCTTCTGGGGAATACCTCTCCTTACCTGTGGAATGGATAGATGTCAGCTTCACCTTCAGAAATTCACCCACCCAGGCAAAGAAAGTGGGGCATTATGTTTCCATTTTCTTGGAGTGGAGAGAATAGCAGAGGCCTTTTCTCTAACCATTTAAAAATTGTACGTGTTGTTGCAAGTTTTCTTTCTTGTATAAATGTTAGCATGGGGATTAATTGTTTGAATGAAAAATGTTTCCAAATTACATTCATAAAAACTGCCAAAAGAAATAGCAGAAATCTTTTCTTCAAGAAATGTCAGAAAATTTTTTCTTCTCATGGATTGAAAGAACAAAAGATAACACCAGTGTTCATCTATAAACTCCAACCTCAGCAAATTATGTGATTCAACTGTTCTTCCAGATTAGGAACATCATGATATTATTTGAAAAGAATGTTTTATTGTGTATCTGTTAGAGGCAGTAGAAAGAAAGGCTATCTCCTTGTATTAACACTTCCTATAAAGTCCTATATAAGGTATTCAAAGTACTTTTTATCCTTTTCTACTTTGTATTATAAAGTCTTAARAGAAGTATTTTTCTGTTTCTTAACCCAAACATATTTTGAGAACTTAAGAAAAATACAAAATGGTTGAATTAAAGAACATATATTAAGAAAACATGGTTAAAAAAAGAAAATGCCTTTAACAACAATAGCCTACATAGATTTATTTTCTTTTTTTTTTTTTATTTTTTTTTTTTTCTTTTTTATTTTTTATTTTTTTTTTTTTCCTTTTTTTTTTTTTATTTTTCGTTCATAACATTACATAGTTTTCTTTTTAATTTAGAGAATGGAATAAGTTGGAAAACTTAACCTGGACAGACTCATGCATAACTTTTTAACATAGATAGTGCCTCTGTCTCTCGGCTAAATCCAGGTCAGCTTTCTACTTCTTACTCTAAGAGCTCTTGAACCAGCCAGAAGATGAAGGAGTATCCAGTGCTAAAACAAATGTTTTATGACCAGTAAATACTATAAACGATCTCCCAAGGAACATGGGGAGTTCAGAGCCATCCCAGTTTGATCACCTCAAGGGAGATTTTCTTTAAAAAAACAGTTTACTAAGTAGCTTTCCCAGCAGGAGTCTGGAATGAGTGACAGGTGTTGGGGACTCAACTCTTCCTGCCAAGAAGAGGGGAACAAAAGAGAAGGATGAGAGCCTACCCTTATCTTCTCAGGATATTTTTTTTCAGCTATCTTTTTGTTCTGTTTTGTTTGGGTTTTAGGTATACATGACAGTAGAGTGTATTTTGACATATTATACATACATGGAGTACAACCCATTCCAATTAGGATCCCATTCTTGTGGTTGTACATGATGTGGATTTACACTGGCATAATATATTCATATATGAGCATAGGGAAGTTATGTCTGATTCTACTGTCTTTCCTATTCCCATCCCCCCCTTTCCCTTCATTCCCCTTTGTCTAATTCACTGAACTTCTATACTTTACCTCCCTACCCTTCCTTGTTATGTGTTAGTATCCACATATCAGAGAAAACATTTGGATTTTGGTTTTCTGGGACTGGCTTATTTCACTTATCCTGATGTTCTCCAGTTCCATCCGCTGAGCAACAAATGCCACAATTTCATTCTTCTTTAAGRCCGAGTAATATTCCATTGTGTATATATACCACATTTTCTTTATCCACTCATCTGTTGAAGGACAATTAAGTTTGGCTCCATAGCTTGGCTATTGTGAATTGAGATACTCTCTCTTTCCTCACTCCAGATCCTTTGGAATTCTCAAAAGTTACTCCTTTGTATTTGGGGAACTTCTCAAGAATCACATGGCCCAAAGCAAAGATTTTCAAATTTGACATAAAGATGAATCCTCTTAAGGAAAAACAAAGCAAAGCTTATTTTGCTTACTATACTCTGTTACTTATATAAATTTACAAAATAATTGCATTTAGATAAAATTCATTGACTACTAAACTCTCTTTTAAAATACAGGAGCAACAGCTGCAGCCCGGAAGGAGGTGATTAGGAACAAGATCCGAGCAATAGGCAAGATGGCCAGAGTGTTCTCGGTTCTCAGGTGGGATCATTTTTCCTCTATTTCTGTTTTGAATTTTATCATGTGTTACTGAATAACTATTTTAACACTTTAATCTGGTAATTTAAACATTTTACTAATATATATTTGCTCTTCTTTATTTTGCCCCTTTTAAATGATAGTGTGAGTTCTTCACTGCTTTAGTTACATTGCAATCTGCAAAATTATTTCTCTGAAGAAATTGTCTGTTAATCAATTGCATCACATTTTATCCCTCTATTTGCTGCAGGATTTTAAAACATTTATTTCACAATAGGTTGTGCATCTTGTGAAACAGGGAAAGCTATTATAATCCTTTTTATTTTTCACTCTGGCTTTGCGGTAAAAGATGAATTTATCCAGAGCATATCACTAGATTTCTAGGAAATGAGCATCAACCCATGAGCTGTTCATGTGAACCCATATTATTCTCATTAATCACTAAAAGGGAAAAGAAAGTTATTTAATGTTTTAGTTCCCATATACTAGTTTGTTTGTTTAAAGTGGATCATGAATCATGCTGTTATTATTAAGCATGAGTTTTGAAAACAAATATTTTCTTAAATGGAATTCACTTTATTTAAATTCAACTATTTCTAGATCATATGTGGTAACTATATTTCTTTTTAGAAGATTATTGTAAAATATTGTGTGTTTATTTGGAGTACAGTCAGTTCACATTTCTTCACATACACTAGGAAAAACAGAAATGCTTTGGGAAATACTGCACCTTCATATTGTATAATTTCAAGTTCTAATTTTTGTCAAGATTTTCCAAAAATTCTCATTAAAAAAAAAGCTATGCAGGGTCTTTTTGTTTCTCCTCTTGCCATTTCTATCTTAACTATGTGGTTTGATGCAGAAAGCAGGAAGCCACAAGAAGGATAAAATCATTACCATCCTTTCTCAAACACACCCAAAACGAGTCAGCAATAACTCAACAGCCAGTGGAATCACAAAAGGCCTATTGAGCTGAGATCAAGAGTGTCCTTGCTCCCTACACCTTAAAGATAGAGACCACCGTTGCTCTCATCTCTTCATTTCTAACTAAACAGACTCATTCATTCAGGCAACAAATAAATATAATAAAATTTAAAACACTGATTATTTATCATAGAGAAAAAATAAAGTAATATAGGGGTATAGCAAGTGGGAGAGAAGGCACTGACTTTAGTGTACGGCCAACACGGAATTCTCTTGAGGAGAGGCTTGGAGCCCGTGTGGCTGACCTTCATGAAGGAACAGGTTAAAGCAGTTCAGGGTAAAGGGAACAGCAAGTGCAGAGACCCATAAGTGGAACAACTCTAGCAGTTTTGAGGACCAGCAAGAAGACATGGGCTTCAACAGCTTTATGAAGAGCAGAAGGTCAAATGACACCTCATCATCAACACTTGCTCACCTATTGTGCCTTAGGTCTACCAATAAATGCTCTTTCTTCTTTTTCTATCTGAAGTCTCTATGAGAATGGCTTCATCATTTCCATATGAAACTGCAGTTAGGAAAATGGGAGAATTCTTGCTTAATATTAAAAAAAAATTTGTGAGTTTTTTATATCCATGATGGTAGTAGAAGCAATGCTATAGAATCCTATAGGTTTACTATTGGAAGATCCCTCAGTCCCTTGAATATCAGTGTACAAGATCTGATTATTCCTAATTATGGAATGGACTGTTTGAACCCAGTGATGATCAAAGACTTAAAAGATTACAAATGTCAATTGGAAGTAGAATAAGGTGCATGGTACTGCTTTCCTGTAATAAAAGCATCTGTAGTGGTATGCAGAGGGATCATATCTAGAAAAAAGTAAACTGAGCTTAGTAAGTAATGGTTGATCAGTAAAAAGGAATCATTTTGAGTTAGCAGTCGAAATTGGAATGGCAGACATGTAGGTTAATATGAGACTATGAAGTGTTTGCTAAATATGTGAGCAGATGCTCTGCTGTGGCATTGGACAGGAGGGAGCCTTTCTGTTTCCTGAATGGGAATGCTCATGAAGAGGTTGACATTGGAGGAGTGCTGTGAAGAAGAGGCTGGATTCCAGGACGTGGGGTTCCTGTGGTAAAGGCGCTCCCGAAAGAGGCGAAAGCATGTCCTCAGAGCAGTGTCAGTGGCATCCTCTTGTGAGGTGCTTGCTAAATGCCAGGTGCTGTGCCCCATGTTATGAACGTTGAACTGCAACCCACACAGCAAGCTTACAAGGTTGCGGTGACCTGCCTTTAGGGAGGAAATTGGGAAAGGCTGACCACCTGTCCCCGGCAGCACTCCACATGAGTGGAGCGGAATCTTACTCCAAAGTGAACTGGGTGGTCGAGTGTGATTCCAAGTGCTACCAGCAGCGTGGGGATGAATTTTAAGCACATAGAAGGGCCAGTTTACAAGATGTGAAGATAGGGAGGAATCTTGTAAAAAATGAGGCTGAAAATGCATGAAAGCCCAGATCTTTACAGGCCTTGGAAACCATGATAAAGTGTGTTGATTTCCCTGTGTGTAGGCAACGAGGAGTCCCGGAATGGTTTTCCCAGGGTGAGAGGCATGCTGTAAGTCATGATTAGATGTGTGTGTGTGTGTGTGTGTTAATGGAAGTGTGAAGATTGGCTAGCAAGGTGATTTATTGGCAGCAGGAAACACTTTGAGGAAGCTACTGAAGTAATCCAAGCAAAAGGTTAGATCAGCTGTGGGAGAAGGAATGCAAAGGAAGGGATATATCTATAAAGGAATTTGAAAAGTTAGATTTTATAAGCCTAGAACATGATGAATGAACACAGGCAGTAGTCCAGAATGGTTCGATATGGCTACTAAACACATACCTCATGTTTCAGAAATTTGCAACATTATAGGGGAACCAGAAAACTGTCTTTCAGCAGCCTTTGCAGATAAGGTATAGGCAAGTTGTCTAGGATCTGCCAATTAGATGAACACACATAACGTTTCTGTTTCTCATTGAACACCATAAGGAAGCAGCCGGTGGAGAAGGTAACTGCTCTGTGAGGTGTGGAATCTGAAAAGCCAGCCATGTAAAAGCTCTGTCTCAGTATTTTTGGGAATAACTGCACAGCATTAGTGAGAGCCTAGGTGTTGGCTGTCAGCATCCRTGGGAGCATTTTATGGAGCTGACCCCATAATGTAGATGGGTCCTGGTATTTGCACTGGTACAGAACATACAAGTCCACTTCTCTGGATCTGAGAGTTTTCTAATAGCCTTATAGCCATCTCTTTACTGTTAAAATTAGAGCATATTCTGCCCAGCATGGTGGCACACACTTGTAATCCCAGCAGCTTGGGAGGCTGAGACAGGAGGATCACAAGTTCAAAACCAGCCTCAGCAAAAAGTGAGGTGCTAAGCAGAGAGACCCTGTCTCTAAATAAAATACAAAATAGGGCTAGGGATGTGGCTCAGTGTTCGAGTGCCCCTGAGTTCAATCCCTAGTACCAAAAAAAAAAAAAAAAAAAGAGCAGATTCTGTTGTTTGTATAAAACCCTTTACCTATTTTAGGGGTGATAAGAGAGAGAAAATATTCTGGCAGTTTTCTATAGAGGTTATARCCTATGTGGTTGGATGTTGCTATAGAAGAAAAAACAAGTATTTGAATATCTAAAAGATGAGTTAGATTTGGCAGAACATTCATACAGAGGCAGTTAGAAATTTTGCCTTGGAGCTTCAGAGAGACTGTGGGGGGTTAGAAATGCAGACAGAGGATTGAATGAGAGGAGAAAACACTACAGCAGTATACAGGATGGTCTTGCTAAAGCGAATAGTGAAAGGCAGGAGCAGAAACTAATCCTCAGACCAGTTCTTTCCAATAGAAATGTAAGCTGAGCCACATCTGTCATCTTAAATGTTTTAGAAATCACAGTGAAAGGAGTACAAAATATTTAACACAGAGATTCAGAATTTAGTCATTTTAACATAGAATCAGTGTTACACCTATTAAGGAGCTATTTTTCCATGCCTGTTTTTTTCACCGAGTCTTTGGAATCTACCTGTGGTTTACACTTACAGCACATCTCAGCTCACACTAGCCTTGTTTCTAAGGGTTAAGAGCCTTGTGTGGCATGGGCTGGAGATGGCAAAAATCAGCCAAGGGACTGAGAAGGATAATAGAGAAGAAGAAGAAGAAATAAAGTGTTATAAAACCTGGGTATGAGAAGCCTTTCCAGAYAGGGGGCACGGGCATCAGTGGGAAATGCTGCAAAGAAAGCAGTAAGAATAAGAATGCAGCAAAGATTATTGGAATTCAGAAATGATGAAGCCTCCAGAAACCTGAGGTGCGGCTTCCCTGTGAGGCAGGAATGGGAGTCACAAGTGAGGGAGGTAAGGAATGTAGTTGAATGTCAAAGGCAAAGCTGATGAGGGAGGAAGGAAGGAAGGAAAATGACCACCTTCTGTACCAGGGCTTTCACGTAAAGTATAACACTTAATCCTCAAAGAAATCCTATAATTATGGATATGGTTTGATAGATAAGGAAACTGAAACCCAAAATAGTTAAACAACATCCTGATCTCATAGGACAGGATTTTAACCTGAGGGTGTCTAAGCCCAAAGGTATGATTAAAAAAAAAAAAAGAAGAAGAAGAAGAAGAAGAAGCCTTTCTACTTTTGGCCACAAAAGTCAAAATTTTGAACATTGAGAAAAAATCACTCCAGACTAACAGAAACCTTTTATAGGTATGAAGCTAGTAATTCAGTTTATCTTCTGAGCAATGTAGGTTTTTATTGTTGGAGCTGTCCTATTTTTTTAATATAGGATTTGATACCAAAGTTATTTAAGTATGAATAATAACCAGTCATGAGGCTAAGGCCTTATTTTGAATCTGAATATAAAAGAAAATAAATATGAGTACATTTCTGTGCAGTACTCTTTAATTTTTTCCAAATCCACTTAGCATTCAGAATATTTCTTCTTTGTGTGACCTCTAGTGATTTGATTGCAGAGTCCTGCAAAGGGTGAAATACCTGCATGAAAGTACACAATGATTGATTGACTGGCTCAACCTTAATACTTTTTTAAAAGAGACAGAGGGTGTGAGCCACACAGACACCCAGGGTCAGATTCCATGCAAGTGCAGTGCCCTGAGGTGAGTGTACTGGGTGTGTTTGAGGGACCCTAAGTGGACAAGGTAGGAAATGTAGTCTGAGAGATGAATGAGAAGGGAGAGCATGGGCTTAAAATACTAGATGTCTAGTGTTTTAAAGGCCCATGTGGAACTTGCTAATGTTTTACCTTTTACCTTTCTCAGAGAAGCCATTAGAGGTTTTGAGTAGAGGAGTGACAGGATCTGGCTTTGGTATTAAAAGACTCCTTGGGGTTGTTGTGCTGGAATAGCTATGGGAGGAGGGGCAGGCATGTGACAAGGGTAGAGCAAAAAGACCATTGGGAGGCTGCTCCCAGCAGGCAAGAGACGCTAGATGTAAGCAAGAGACACTGTCACAGAAGATCACACGTGTATGACGCCATTTGTCTGAATGTCCAGAGTAAATGAACCTGTAGAAAGTAGACGAGGAGTTACACAGCGCTGGAGGAAATGGGGAGTGACAGCTAATGTGGGTATAGGGCTTCTTTCGTAAGTGATGAAATGTTCAAAAATTGATAATGGTGGTAGTTGTACTGCTCTCTGAATAAGCAAAACACTACTGAATGAATCATACACTGCAGATAGTGCTACATTAATTGTATCTCAATGAAGCTSTTTACCAAAGGAATGAGAGAGTAAGCTTCTGAGAAGTGGTACAGCATGGAAATATGTTGAGGGTACAGCCATCAGGATTTATTGGTAGAGTAGCTGAGGTATTAGGATGAAAGAAGTTGCAGGGTGATACTTTAAGTTCAAATAGCTAAAAGATGAAATTTTCAATTTCTGAGTTGGCTACTGATATGAAAGTAGCAGATTTGGGGAGGAGTTTTGAGATTTAGAAATCTCTGTAAAAATTTTGAGTAGTTATATATATATATATATATATTAAACATCACAAATGTATATGTATATGTATAAAACCTTATGGAGGGGCTGGAGTTGTGGCTCAGTGGTAGAGTGCTCACCTAGCATGCAGGAGGCACTGGGTTCAATCTTCAGCACCACATAAAAATTTAAAAGTAAAGATATTGTATCCACCTAAAAAACTAAAAAATAAATTAAAAAAAAAAACTTATGGAGTATTTTCTGCTTATGGAGGATTGCAGTGAAAAGATGTAAGGTTATTCTTATTTCATGCTAATGTAATCATTGAAATCTATGAGTAAATCAAAGTGATTAATAGTGTTAAAGATGAATAAATATAATTAAAGTTCTGAAGTACTTAAAATTATTGTAAAATAATTGTCCTAGTGGATAATAAAATAATTTTATATAAGCAAATCAGTGGGGAAAGTGGCTGAAAAAGAAAAACTAAGACATTTTGCCATTTGCTTTATTGACTAGTTGCTATTCTTTTGTTTTCCCCAAGTGTTGTCAAAATTCCTTAGTGATCCCTGGAAGTAAACCCTGGCTCTCTAATCCATAGTTCAATTTTTTTTTCTCAATTTACCATATATTCTGGTTTTCCCTTCCAATCAGTTCTACTTACTGTTGCTGAGCCTTGGCTGAAAAATTTGCATCTGCATTCTGCACAATTCTCTCTGAACATGTTTGCTGTTATCCTGGGGGATACACAACAAACACTTTGTAATATGATATCTGATGACAAAATCGGAATTATTTTCTGTATCTTCAGTACTCAGAAGAGGTTATATGTCCACAGTTGCACAATGCAACGTCATCATTTGTGTAGCATCTCCTCTATGTAAATGTATAAAAAATATGGTGTATTTTAAGTAAAACAAATGAACAAATGAACAAAAATCCCAGAGAGCCAACACAAGGGCCAATGTGGGTTCTTACATGCAATGTTTTCCTTCCAAACTAACACCTGCTCTTTGTTTGTGCCTTCCAGAGAAGAGAGTGAGAGTGTGCTGACACTGAAAGGCTTAACCCCCACCGGCATGCTCCCCAGCGGAGTGCTTTCTGGAGGGAAGCAAACTCTGCAAAGCGGTAAGCAGGCCAGTGGTATGACCTTGACCCTGGAGCATCACAGCCAGCTGAGCCACCAGAGCCCTGATTTACCCATTCATTCAAGCTCTGTCTTGGTCTTCAGTTCTTCTTGGCTGGAAGAAGGGCTGAAACCCCCACATCAGTTTGGTCAGTCAWGTCCATGATAATAGCACCCCCACTTACTGCAGTACAACCCTTACACCCATTCCCTCATCAACATAGGAATCTACATTTGCAAGCTGAGCTATATGCAGACTCATTCAGCTTGCACACATGCACAACAGGTTTGACTACTAAGAGCCAATCAATTGCTGAAATAAGTTTTTAATTACATATTTTAAATAGATTTCAGGTTATCTTTTTGATTGATGAAATAAACATGCACACCCAAATATACATCCATAACTAGATTTTATTGAACAATCTAAGAATATATAAAGGTTGATTTCACTATCCACTTAAATAGATATTAGAAGTCTTATGTGTCCTTTGGTTTATCTTTCCAAAATAAAAAGAAGGCACTAATTTTATTATTGAAAGAAATTACAATATTTCCTTTAAGAGAGTCTATATGAAAACCACAGTTCTTTAGACCAGTGTTGTACCATAGAAATTTTGTGATGATCGAAATTTCTTCATCTGTGCAAAAGTCACTGGTAGCTTATAACTGTCAAGCACTTGACATACAGCTAATACAACTGAAAAACTTATTTTTAAATTTTATCTAATTTTCATTAAATTTAATTTAAATATCTACATATGGCTAGTGGCAACCATGTTAGACAGCATGGTGCTACACATTCTTTTTAATGTCTGGTTATCAATTTTACTTATTATCATTACTTAGAATAAAATTTTAAAATGTGGAAATTTTGGTATTAGATTTGACTTCCACAGAAAAAAATTAAAAGAAAAATACACTATAACATTTTTAAATAATTTCAGCCTCATATTCTCCTGTGTCTTTCCCTGAATCTTTCTCATATTTTCTCTTCCATCCCTGTCCTTCATCTTAGAAGATTCAGGTATTTTTACAGTTACATTATTTAGACAATGCTACATGAAGGCTAATGATCAACTTCATGAATACGGTATTGCTAAATGATCACATCCTAGCAGCATCACAGTAATTCTCTTTATTATCAGATGAATTTATTCCAAAATCACTCCGAATTTCCACAGAAATTCAAAGAATTTTAAATTAGGATAAGACAATACAAAGTACTAAAGTAAATTCTCTCTTAAATTTATAGCTGGAAATTATTTATTTTAATAGATTTATACAAACACAAAAATTTTTCCACCAAAGCTCACTAAAACGTTAGCATAGATAAATCAGATGTGCACAAAATGCACTTCTACCTAATTGATTGAAATCTACAGTTTCTGGTAAGCACATTTTAAGACACAGCAAGTGTATTATCAGAAACTCGGGGCCTCATTTGCTTAGAAGGATGCATTTAATAGCGGGCAGTACATATTTCTAATATGTCAGTGCTGGTGTGGTTCCAGATTTTTGCTTTACTTTTGAAACTTAAGTTACTTAAGTTGTTATAATTCTTTGTTTCTTTTCTAGATTTCCACCTGCATTTTTAACTTCAGTCATTGCATTTTCTTTTCCTTTATTTTAAAACCATTGGTTTGTGTTATCCTGTGTTAAACACACACACACACACACACACACACACACACACACTCCAGACAGGCAAAAGACATGTGGATTGGAAACTTGTTTGTCCCCAGATTTGGAAAACTTAATATGTACTGTAAACCACATACATTAATAAAACTTGAAAACCCATCGTCTGACACCCTTCTGCTTGTCTCAAAGGGGTCTTTCTCAGTGCTTTGGTCTTCAGCTCTTCTCCTTGGTGGCAATCATCCTCTATTTTTGCCATAAGGAATCTAGAATGTACCAGAAGGAAGTTAGAGTGCAGATTTGGCAGTTGCTCCACTTGTAAAATCTTAAAATATAAGAAAAATGCAAATTAAAGTTAAGGGGTAAAATTTTAATATTAAACATTTAAGGGTTACGGAGACATTTTGCATTTTAGCATTTAATTAGGGAAATACCAACTAGCCTTAATAACTCAGAAGGACCCATATACCTGTGAAAGTATAGACCCAGACCTTATCATAAAAATTGCTCATAAAGCAACGGAGTATAAAAGTTCTGACTCTGAAATATGCTCTTTCAGTGTATTTTTAAGACGCCTCCTAGATGAGGTTTCAATATGTAGGCTGCTTCTTCTTTCAAATGCAGATAGAAAGAATTCTTGCTGCTGCTGCCATGTTACCACTTGGGTTTTTAACACTTCAAGAGTTTCATTTCCAAAACTGATATTCCCATATGGAAAAGAAAACTGATTTTAAATTGTTCTTCCTGGCAAAAGAAGTCCAGCCAATCATTCCTTCCTTTCTCCATTCTCCCTCACCCTCTTGCCAATCCCTACCCCCAAATTTAAAGAATCACATGTACTTGAACATGAACACATTGATTTTATCTTTCTTTAAATTTGCATCCCCTGTCTTTGCATGGCAGTAGGAAATAGTACCATTTAATATTAAGTAGTATGATTTATCTCACTGATATCATGGCTCTGCTTCAAGTTCTACCATTTTGTCTGGTCTTTTAAAGTAGTAAATCAATCACCAAATCCAGCAAAAGTTTTAAAGTGTTCTGTGAGACAGAAGCACATTTTAGATGACATAATCCCTTATCAATTTAATCCAAGTTAAAGAAAACTTTTCTGAGTCTTTTCATAAAGGGTTAAATTATTTTGTCATTTAATTACTGAGCAAAAACCAAGCAGTTCACTCAGATAGAAGTAGCCAAATCTTAAACTTATCATTTTTTGGTGGTGTTTTTTTTTTTTTCCTTTCTTTTTAGCATTTCTGTTTTGTTGTCTGTGCCAGAATCCAGCACTTACAGGATCATTAGTTCTCTTAGCTCCTTTGATCGTCACTGATTTGTTCTTAGAGTTAAAAAAAAAAAAATCCTCTGCTCATTTTTCTCATTCATTTTGCACCCCCTTTCTTCTCTTCAGCTACTGTTGAGGCTATTGAGGCTGATGAAGGTAAATTGGCCAGTCCCCTTTCTGTTGTACCTGCAACAGATAAGGGCTCTGCTGGGTGTATTCATTTTTTTTTTTTTTTTTTTTTTTTTTTGCTGTAGCTTGTACAGAGTGTGTGGGTGTTGGGCTAACAGTTGTGGCTCAGTATTAACCAAAATGTTCTTGCTTTAAAGGGGAAAATGTCCTTCTATGGTTTGTTTGTTTGTTTTTTCCCTTAAAGCTATGTTTGACTTCTGTATACAATGAACCTAGTATAATCACAGAAAACAAAAGGAATTTATATATCTTGAATGATGTGGGGTGGGGGTTATGGCAGCTGTTTTGACAAATGACACATAAACAGTATTCTTGGAGCTGAACCATGTCCCTCCCTCAAATCACTTTCAGGCAGCACTGAAAAGGAAGAGTAAAGATAGTTTATTAATTTCCAGTCTTTCAGAAGTTTGTAGCCCAAAACAGTTCATTTGAATAGTGCTTTGTTATAGTTCAGCATTACTCCATGTCTCTAAAATTATTCCAAGACGAGACAGATGTGTATGAGATAAAAGGTTTGTTTAGCTTTATCAACTTTAACCTACTGAGACTTATAGGACAGTTAACAGTAGCAAAATATTATAAGGTGTCTAAATGCACTTAGACACCTGTGGAAGTGGCCGATTATAAGAATAGTGAGTATCAAGGGATCGCTCCGTTAATTAACTTTCACTGAGTGTCTGCTTTGTGCCAGGCACCGTGCTAGGAGCTGGAGAGGAAATCCAGAATGTACCATCTCTAACTGTGTCCTGACTCTGCTCAAGGACAGTAGAGTTGACCCCTGTGTAACTGTTTTGAGCAAATTTTTTTAAGTCTATGGTTATGAGAGAACTGCATATCAAAATAGATTTAATATTATCTATGCCATATCTTCTGACAATTTGATAAAGTATAATTTGAAGTTCCCCTTTAAAACAAAATTCTTCAGTTGTATTTTGTTCTTGCAAGATAACTTCTTATTTTTCCCAAAATTGTCTGCATATGGTCCTTTTGGTATGATGTAAAAGCGTGCCACTTTAGACTTACAATTTGTACGTGATTTGGATATGGTAGGGGAAATGACAGCACTGTAAGAGAAAATACAACTGCTTCCTAAATAGCAGTGAACAAACTGCTATTTATGTGGGAATTCTCTATTCCTCTTGGCAAATTCTAATCTGCAGTGTGCATTCTTGTTGATAGTTTGGCTGTTTTCTGTGGTTTCTGTGACTCTGTGTTGTGTTAAGTATACTACCAATGTAAATTGCTAATACCCATTGTCTGACCAGCAACTACAGCAGAGCACATTCCTCCATCCAGCATAGACAAAAATGATTAGAATGGAGCCCCATCCCAGAAACATCCATTGTTCTAGCTAGATTTTTACTTCTACGCTCCCTCTTTATTGGCTTTTACAACCTAGAGATTCCACTTTTGCCATGTCAATTAATAAAATCGCTTCATAAATTATAGTGACAAATGTTTTATACTCATTCATGATGATGAAATGATATTTAAAGTAGTTTAGAAAAAGAGTAGGGTACCACTTTGTGCTGTTATATTGTTCTTCAAAATAATTGAGTTAGTTTTCAGGGTGGGTGCTCATTAAACAGCTCTATTATTTCACAATTTATTACCAAATTACAGAAAAATTAAGAAGCTTTGCTTTGGGCCTTGGTCTCTCCCCATTTCCCCATCTACTTCCTCTCACGGTTGACTAATCACCATTATGCTAACCTTTAAAATACAGAGAAGGAATAATCTATTTCTCATCGTTATTGTAATGAGCTTTGTATATCTTTCTTTTAAGAATCCCATCCATACTGATGAAAGGCACTCATGTAGGAGTGGCTGGCAGAGTTTGAGCTGGAAACTGCTTTCCGTTTTTTCCTAAATAAGGTGGGGAGGATAAAGGTACTCTGAAATTGTCCTTAATCCACCATGGAGATGCAGCCTCATTCAGCACTGGTGATTGGCCMTTAAGTACCTGTCTTGCACTTCACAGGGAGTAAAGCAAACTGATGTCATTGGTTCCACATTTGTGTATTTTATTTGCAGCTCACTGGTTGATGCATCCTTGGAAGAAAATCATTAAGTTCCTTATACAAATTCCTACCTATATCTGTAGTGTACTGAGGGTTACTAGAAAACAACTCAAATATCACTGTGCCCACTTTGAGAATTCTGTGTTTTAATTGCTAATAGGATCTAAACCAGTCCAATTCATTTTTGCTAAAAAGTGTAAAAAAAGAGGGTTTCCCCCCGTTTTCTTCTTTAATCACCACTTATGTCTACATTGATCTACTAAGAAAGAGCTTTGCTTTGGACACCAGATGAACATCAGTTTGGCCTGTTCACTGCTGAAGGGCAGACAAAGCCTCTCTACATAGTGACCTGATATGGATTTTTCTGAGTTTATCTTAACTTGTCACCCACTCTATATGCTTCCAAAGTTGAGTGCAAAAATAAGAGTTTATAATTTCTTCGTTTTTTTCACGACACCATTGAGTTGTTTGCTTTGTGGGATTCTGAGATGGCATGGACATACCCAAGTCGATTTCTTTTCTGGCTCCTTTTACAGTCTGCTATAAGTCCATTGTTGGACTTTGAGGCAGAGAAGACACAGTGATTCTGTTGAATTTGCCATCGAGAGCACATGGGAGAGTCACAGGGGGGACATGCTGTCTGTCTAGGTCCGGGCCCTGTGGGTAACCATGCTAAGGATGTGGCCAGTTGATGCTGGTTCCAGAGGCCTGTCCCTGGAAGCCACTTTCCTCTTTACATATCCACTTTGGGTTTCTTTGATCTAAACTTTCATGATAACTTCAAGAGGACATTTTGGTTGGCAAGAGACATTGGCTGTTTTCAGACCTTTGGTTATCTCCAAGTATGGTAAGGAGTCTGTTGTGTTGTGTTCCGGTCCCATCACGTTGTTCTCCACTAAAGGATTCCCACTCACCGCGAAGTCTCTAACATCACCTGATGCGCCTCCTGTGCCCTTCTTCTGTCTCTGGCTAACCCTGTTTCTCTTTTTTTTTTAATGATTTTCTGTTTAGCTATCAAAGGATTTTCGCCACAACATAAGATCACTAGCTTCGAGGAGGCCAAGGGCTTAGACCGAATTAACGAGAGGATGCCGCCTCGCAGAGATGCCATGCCCTCTGATGCCAACCTTAACTCCATCAACAAAGCTCTCGCCTCAGAGACTAACGGCACGGACAGCAATGGCAGTAATAGCAGCAATATTCAGTGACCACTTCCTGTTCACAATTTTTTTTTTTTTTTTGAGCTGCAGGGCATGAGGGAGATTGCTGCATATCAGCAGTTGGATGTTCTTGCCTCTGATGGTAGCTTGTTTGCTCTGGGGGCCAGGAATTGGATTCAGTTTACACTATCATTAAAAAGAGGGAGAGAGAGAAACTATATTTTGGTGAGGGTGGTGATTAAACACCTCTTTTGGGTATGCCTTTTAAAAATGCTTATAGGGAAAAAATTTTCAAAGGAAGCTAATGCTAGTATATACTGCAATGTTAGGGGAATGAACATGTTTTCCTACTGCATTGGGGACTTATAGATAGGTAAATGAACGGCCTTTTATTCTGTTACTGGACATGAAAATTTTGTCTAATTTCTTACTCTATTGTACGTTTACAGTCGCAGCACTAAAAATGGATGACATCAAACATTTTTAACAAAAATGATGTACAAACTAAATAAGGACTATTTATTGATAATGTTTTGCTACTCTTGTCACAATGGCTATCAACTGAATTAGGCAGTCTTAGAAAAAAAAACAGAAAAAGAAAAAAAAAAAAAGAATGTTGCAAATTTGTTAAAATGCCAAAAAGGACAGTTTAATTTTGTACAGATTATGCTTACCTCAGGTTTCTTTAGTGTGCTTGAATGCCCTTCTTTCCATATAACACTTATCTTATTAATTTGGCAATGAATATCTTTTCTTTAAGTTTAAAAAAAAACTGGAATAATTACACCTATCTTTTTTGCTGTTTATATTTAGGGGTTTTGTTGATAAATCAAGTCTTGGTTGTGGCTTGCTGAATTAAATATTTATGAGTGGTGCATTTTTAAGTAATAGTGAACAAGACACCATATTAAGTACAGTGATAAAGCATCTATATTCTGTAAAAAAAAAAAAATCTGCCTATGCATGTTTTTTAAGAAAAAAAAAATGGCTGTATCGGCCTGTATGGGACTGTAATGCGCTTAGTGGTCTGATATATACTGGAAATGTATGTATACTGGCGTACTTTATATTCTCTAAAATGCTTAATGCCTTTGAAATTTTGTAATCAAAAAGCTTTGAAAAAATCTAAAGGGGAGAGTATTCTTAAAAGTTTTTAACATAAGCTTGTCAGTGCACATATAGATGGTTAGCATGTTTAGCAAACCTTGTGAAATTTAAATAAGTTTGTAGTTACATGTGAAACTCTAATGCATGGTAACTGTTAACGTCATAACGGTTTAGTTATTTCGTTCCGTTCTGTCATGTGCCACAAAAATATGTACTTTTTTCACTTTTTTTCCCCTTTGTATATCAGTTATGGGTTACAACTGGTTCATTCTGAAAACAACAACAATAACAACAACAAAAGTCCATTCATATTTTTTAACAATTGTATAAGTGCCCAAGTAATTCACTACAGCCTAAAGCCTGGCCTTTGTAATTTGACTTCTGAAATGTTGGCAATCAAAGCATGCACTTGTAACAATGAAAAAGAAAAAGCATTTTATATTACTACTCAATAAAATGTGCATGAACTTAAAGAACTCTCACCCTTTGACTGAGTCTGCTGAAGGGATTTATGTGCACAGCCACCAGGGCGTCTTCCAGGTGCTGGGCCACCACCAACTGGGCGCAGAGTTACCTGGATAGGCTGCTTTCTAAGGGCCTCGTGACCTTGAGGTGTGGTGCCTACTTCTGCTGTAAGAATCTTGGTGGATTTGTGTCTCAAATCAGATGAGAGAAGTCTGTTTAACAAGCAAATGCCACCTTCTGGCTCTCTCCAATGTGGGAACCAGTCAAGAAGCCAGAGTATTCCTTTTTATTGAAAAAAAAAAATACATCCATTTGTTATCAGGTTGTTTCAGTTGTATCGGCTGCCCCGTCTCCTAAAGCAGAAGGAACTAGGCTACTAAGTGCATTTTCATCAAGGGAGAGTTGCATTTGTATGGATATGAAATTTGTATTCCTTCCTGTGCTTCAACTAATATCAAATCACCGAAAGATTTAAGACACACCAGATTTCAATTTGTTTCTAACATTGTTCATGTTCAGTGCACTTTGTTTTATGTAATAAAGTATGCCTGTTATATGAAATAATAAGAATATGGTGATTAGTAATACAGTGTACCAAAACAAAGATGTTCCAGATATATTCTCTGACAAAGACAATCCATCTTTATTCTACTGAATCCAAACATTTTTTCCTGTGGATATTTTCCCCTTCTAAAAAATAAAAATGATATCCAAGAAAAATATTTAGATGCAACTTACTAGAATGATGTGAAAGAAATGGTAATTCTGGTACCAAGGTGTTTATTTTCTTTCTTTCAGTTGCGGAGAAAATATCCTGACAAAAAGAAAAAAAAAATCTTTTTTTTTTTTTTGATTCCTTTCTTTTACAAATTGTGCTAAGGCAACTATGGCATAGAAATAAACATTTGACATTAAAATAAGCAGTTGATGTGAGTATTGCTTGGTCTTTCTGGTCAGTGGTTAGGAAAGTAATATTCTATATTGTTGCTTAAGCTTTTGGTCTATCAAAGAAATCATTACAGAGCTGAAGTTATTTCTTCAAAAAGTACAATACTTCCACACCAGGTCTCAGTGATTAGATTTATCTCACTTAACTTTTGAAAAAAAACTATTGAATTCTGGAATTCTTTATGCCAGTGAACCTTTGGACACACACACACAAAATCACCCTCCAGTCCACTGCCCTTTACCCACCCCCTGGGCAGAAACCAGGGCCCCCAACATGAACTCAGCACCACAGTTGGGACAGTGCATGTAATCTTACTTAGTGTCTCATACTTTCATTTGACTGCTTCCTTCTCTCACTGGATCCTTCTAGCATAGACCTTTCAGTTCGCCCTACATGGGTATCAGCATTTCCTTAAGACTGGAAGCCCTTGAATTGAACAACTGAGAGATCTCCTAAACATTTTCTTTGTTCTGTGACTATGCACTCTATATGCATTCCATGAACATTGAGATTCTCAGTGTTCCTCTCACTGTTCTAAAGTCTTATTTTACACACACACACTTACACACAACATCTGGCAACTGTAACAACATACACAACATCTGGCAACTGTAACAACATATCAGTTTTCATGATAATGTTAAATGTCAACAATGCATCCAGCAGTGAGTCAGTTTCTGGTTTAACGCTGAGCTGCTGTTCCCTCTATTTCATGAATATTCCTTTTGGATATATTATACGGTAATGTTTAACCAGAAAAGCCCGCTTAATGTTATATTCAGTTTTTCAACAAAAAAAAAATCCATGCATAGTAATGAGGCAATGTACCTGCTGCTTGTGCCTGCATTTTCAAGAGGCAGCATCAACAAATTCAAATGGCTGTGGGAGACTTAGACACCCAGCAGGAGAAAGAGTGTGTTTCAACGAAAAACTGAAGAAACTTATAAAGGTGAACAACAGGAGTCCTGACAGCTCTGATATTGAGTGCTTATTCCAAAAGACATAGTACTAAGTCAGAAAAATGTCTACTTATGAAGTAGCAGTAGCAAAGAAAGGTTGCTTACTCAAAGAATAAACAGTGTGAGTGCTTTGCCTGTTTAGGAAGAGTTAAAACCCAGGCCAATTTAAGTCAGCGCCACAAATACCTCCTGACAGATGCTGCATGGAAGGAGCCACATAGTAGACATGGTAGAAAGGGCTGTCTTCAAAGAGATTGAATTAGATCATATTTAAATTACTCTTCACCAATAATATTCTAAATATCCATTCAACTACTCAATTTTTGGAAGAACAGAATTTTGATAAGCAACCTGTGCCCTGGCTGCCTGTGTTCACAGGAATACTAACAGGGGGCTGAGCTCTGTGCATCAACTACAGTAGCCCTTTTATGGATTTTCCATACTAAGCATCTATATAAGATATCAATTGAGAAGTTTCCATTAGAACAGCAAAACTTTAAGTTGACAATTATATATAATGAATTATATCACGAAGTTGACTTAAACTCCAGTCTTAAGACATTCTTGTCAAGTTATACAGGTTGAGTATCTCTTATCCAAATGCTTAGGGCCAGAAGTGTCTCAGATTTGGAAACAGATACATAAAATTTACCAGTGAGCATCCTCTATCTGAAAATATGAAATTCTCCAAAATCCAAACATCTAAAGTCTTATAAACACTCAAAAAGTTTCAGACTTTGTATTTTTAAGATTATGGATGCTCAACCTCTACTTTCAAAAATTTTTTATCAAATTCTGGGGACGTCTAGGTTTCCTCACAATAGTTCAAATTGATCTATAATATGTCAACTTCTTCAGGTTGTGAGGCAATTTGCCACCTGATTCTTGCTTTTTGAATGTATATTGAACATAACTTACCTTCAAAAAATTTAATATCTATTAATATTATAGAAGGAAACTATAAGTCATTGTCAGATACTAAAATCTTAGTAAGAAATAATTTATCACCATTCTGACAGGGCTGGTCAAATGCTAATAAAGATGTCCCTACTGGAGCTTTGGGAGGAGGGATGGGAGTACTAGAGCTCAGAGGAAGGACCAACTGGGTTCATTAATTCTGTACTGGGCACCTGCCAGTGCCCAGTACAGAACACAATACAATGAAATTTGAGAAACAATCTTAAATCTTGCAATATGCAATAGCAGTGAAAATAAATCAATGTTTTTGCCACACATGCTCACTTTTGTGTGATGTACTCCATACTGATTCTGATCCAGAATTAGACCAGAGTTGGAATTTTTCTAGCTCTGCTACTATGTGGCCTTGAGAAACTTAGGAATTGTTTTAAAGAGTAGTCATTTCATAAATTTTTCATGGCAATTAAAGAAGACAATGTAAATGAAGTACTTGGCATCATGCCTGGCACAAAATAAACATTCAATAACCTTTAGTTATTATTGTGGTGTTCAACAGCATGCTGAGATACATGAATGCTTGATATAAATATTCTGTAGTTGATGATTGTGTGTATGGCAGGGGCTGAGAGTATATGTGTAGTCAGGAAAACTTACTAAAAGAAATGGCATCTGGATTGACCCTTCCTAGGAAGATGACTTGGTAATGAAAAAGAAGTTGGGCAAGCTAGGGATGGGGCTAGTATGGAGGGTACTTTCAGCCTGAGAGAAAAGTTAAGAGCAAAGGAGGAGATATGTCATTCATCTTGGCTAAAGCATGGCAATGAGGGGAGTGAGAGATGAGAATGATAAGCTAGGGTGCCATCCACTCAGTTACATGTATCAGAAAGCCAGCCACAAGCAATCAAATATCTGACTATGCTCCAACCACAAGGATATTTACAGTTAGGTGGCAAGGACATCTGGGACTACAGACTAGGTCACAGGATTAATTTGGTATATCAGTAGTATGATGAGGGACCTAGCCTCTTTCCATCCTCACAATATTCTTCTGTTGCAAAAAAGAAAAAAGAAAAGAAAAAAAAGAATGAAAGAAAGAAAACAGAAAACCTCTCACAGCTCCTGGAATCACTTATTCACACAACACAGTTTGATTACTGGAAAATAACACCAAAATAACCTATAAATAAAGCAAAGGTGAATTTATTGCTTACTGCAGTAATGTAACCACTACCTTGGCAGAGGTGTAGTAAATCTAGAGAGTGGAAGGCAAAAGCAAAATATTTATAGCATTTTGTTTGGTTCTGATTGGTTCTTCTGAGCAGGCATCTAATAAGGGCTGGAGAAAGTTTATGAATGTACAGTTTAAAATCAGAAGAAATAGCACAGGGATGACTACTAAGCATATCTTGAAGAGATGACAGTAAATATCTAGTTAAGAATAATAGACTTTGTTTCTCTCTCAAATTCTTTTAAGATATTTATGACAACTGAAGCAAAAACTTACGAAATTTTGTTGTTGAATGAAATCAAAAAAGACCTAGAAGTAGAGACATACTGAGTTCATGGAGTTGAAAATTTAATATAGTTAGATGTCAATATATCTCAAGTGAATCAATAGATTTAGTGCAATTCCATCCAAAATCCTAGCATGATTTTCTTATAGAAGAGCTGATTCTAAAATCTATATTGAAAATATAGAGAGGTGAAATAGCCA